ATATATATGTCTTCAAATATATTTAGATTTATATATTCACTCTTTTTTGTTTCTTTTTCTTAATTATACTTTGATAGCGTGTATCATGTTTTTGTATATCAGCCGTATAACGGTCATAAAAACCAAAGGCACGACACACAGGGAGAAATTTCCCCCGAGTCATTCCGTCTCGAATAAAAGCCCGGCTTACATATTGTTCTAACGAGCAAAGAGCTCGCATATATAATGAATAAACAGCAAACGCAGACGAGAGTTTCGCGCTACACCATTACGCACCGGCGTTGCGAAACGCATAGCGAAAAGACGCAACTGTCGGGGTTTGTCTAACAGACGAGTAACCGAGGCACGACGAAGATTTAAAGGTGTCGTCCCGGGGCGCCCGAAGAATACAAAGTCGTGGAGCTCAGTTAGCGGCTAAAATAAAATGTCGAAAAGTCGTAAAGCGTATTATGACCGCCCCATAATTTACGGCGATGCGAAACCGCCGTCGACTTTTCGCCACCGGATTCGCGGCTGCGTATGCATGTGCACATTGTTTTGCCAACCAACGAAATCTATGACAATCATCAATTATCGAAATAGAAATATTTTTAATAGCGCTCGCTTTTCGAAAAGCTCATTTAGTTAAACTTAATCTGTAGATTTTAAAACCAACTTTTACTTTTTTTTTAATTACATGTGACTATAGAAATCAGAAATTTTATTAATCAATTACACAAAATTGAAGTAATAAAAATATTTCAAAAAATCAATAAATCAAAATTAAACAAAAAACATGCCGCAATTATTTAATAACCTCTTATATTTCCGAGCTAATTCACTGCCGCTACATTTGCATAATGCAATCCGATGATAACACAAGTTTCGATTCGAGATTCGTGTTTTTTGTTAGTCAGTTTATCTTAATTTAATGTATAAGTCGATAAGATTACTTTTTCTTAACCAAAACGTCAGCGAGGATTAATGTCCTCGGCAAGTAAAGCACAGACCAGCGCACGATCACCCTAATTTCGACATTGTTTGGAAGAATCGATTCGACAAGGATCCATCAGCGATCCTGCGGTCAAGCCGATTATGCAACGTCACGAAGCGGAATGAGAATCCTAGAGCACGCCGCACTATCGAGCGACATATAGTGAACACGAAAGGTCGTCAGAGCTTCATTATGCTTTGAGTCGACAGTCGGATGGGTCGAAGTTACGCGAATGTTATTAACGTTGTATTCAAATCCCTCAGCTATCCTCCGGAACACGCGTGTTTGCGTCGCATCAGGCACGGAAATAGACACGATATGTGAATTAAGCGAACGGATGAGAACGCGTCCTCTCGACCTCGCTCGAATTTGCGGATAACCGTATATCAGATATCCGACGTAAGGGATATTCACGCGAGTCTCCATAATCATGCGACACCCGATTACTAAAATCCAGATCCAGTCGAATAGTTTAATTTTTAAATGGTTCTGTTATAGAAAAAAGCATAACGAGATGTGAAATGAATAAAAATTGCGATAAAATCGAATTTGTAAGATATATGCAGTAAAAGTAGTGTAGAAAAAATTGCAATGATTAATTTAGATCATCGAGCGCAACATTTGTAACTATGGGGAATCTGAATTAATCGCACATTCGTGAAATACGAATCATTCCGGATTGCTGCAAATGAATATCGGGTAACGCTGTGCAAAGCTCGTTCGTGGCATATCCAATATTCGGAAATCGCGTTTTCCGGGTAGATTATACAAAGCAAACATTATAGCATTCAATATCCCGTAACACTTTTTGTTGTACAAAATAAAAAGCGCCGCTAGAGACTTAAATTCGTTGCTTCGTCGCTTCTAATAAAAAATTAAAGTCATTAATGATGATAACAATTAAGAAATGTAAAAATTAGTATAACTGTTATTATCACTCCAATTCAACAGTTCGTAATGTTGAACTCTGGTTCGTTTATTCAGCGAGCTTCGAATCGGAACGGACGTTTCCAGTGGAGTGGAAGAGAACAAGAGAAACAAACTATTGCCATTTTTCAATATTAAGAAGGTCTTATGGATGATTTAAATAAGCTCGAGGAAGCTCGGCAGTATGCGGCCTGAAAAGTCGGACTTCTTCGATTTATGGGGAGACGTCAGAGACAGCTTAGAATCTCTCTTTACGCGCTCGCATTTAAACCTCGCTCTATCTCTCCGCTGTTTCTTTTTTTGCTACTTTACCTTGTACTCGTCTTTCCTCGTTTTTATCGTTTCTCGTATCGCACAGCGATTGAACACGCGAAATCGTAAAATGTGAAGTTCACTAGTGTAAGACTAGCCGAGATCGCATTGTTCGTACATACAAGAAAGTACGACTTCGTTCGATTCTCCTTGTAATCCGTACATTTCCTTCGATGATATATAAAATCTGAATTTATTTTATCTCCGTAAGAAAAACTTTATGTACATCATTACTCGATCAAAATGTTCAAAGCGTAAAAAAAACTAATGAAAATCATGTTGATTTGTATATTAGATAAAATAGCTCATTGATAGCTTGAATAACATTTGTTCTTTTCATATTTTGTGTTATAAGGATTATATTAAAAGCCTCATTTTATTCAAAAAGGAAATATTGTTTCATCTTTCCCAATCATTTTCTTTTTAAATTATTTTATATTATAATCTTACGTGATTTTATTTGTGCGTAATCAAAAATATACTCCGTTAAAACGACAAACGTAACGCATTTAAAATCGCCGGTCAGAATGGCATAAAAACTTTTCAAAGTGACGACAGAAAGAACAGCGCTCTAGCAAACGGAAGTACGAACGGATGATTGATGGCCGGCCGATTGCCGTTCTCGCTGTAGAAGGCGAAAGGCGGGGTCCTCGATAATTCAACGATGGTCTCTCGACACGCGCCGCGGGCGTTAAAAATAGGAAAGGAGACGAAGAGATTAAGCGCGAGGGCAGCAAGTTGTCTGACATCGAATAACAAGAACTACAGAGTCTCTACGAGCAACATGAT